ACATCCATGACACATTTGATTGCCACTATCTTACTCAACATTGCCACAACAAACTAGGTTGGATTGGCCAATATGTAGTCACCATGCTAATCTACAACTTTATCCACTTGAGTTGTCATGGCTATCACTCGCCTTTGTTGAGTTTACTTTGTCACTTAGAAAATATGCTTATTAGTATATGAAATGCCAATTAATATTTACAGGCGTCGCAACGCAAGGAACTAACGCGGCCATGAGCGAGTTTGAGTTTACCATCCGGTTTGTTAAAAAATAACCAGAAAACTTAAAGCGTCTAAAATGGACCTTAAAGATGTTGTTTTAAAGCTGCAAGGCCCAATCGCCGTAGCAATCAGATACGCTGCTGTGTTGGTTGCGTTGATCAATGACTATGCTAGTGCTGTTAATACAGAATACATGGATGTGAAGATCCCATATGTAACATTACTACGCGAAGAAGAGACATAACTTGAAGGCAGAACAAATTTACCGTGCGTGAGTCCGGATTATATTTATTCATCATAACCTGTTAATATAGTTGGTGGGTTTAATTGTACTGATAAACAATCCACCTGGAATAAGAGTAACAATACATTATCGACGATGCTATATAACCCTTCTTATTAACAATATTAGTATCGTTAGTCACCAGATGTGAAATTTTGTCTGAAGCATTCCACATGTATTCATTTTGGAACTTCGCCATCTTCGGCTTTTGTGTATAACAGTTTCATTACATCTATGTGAGTGATTCCGAACAGTTGCGCGATGACGCTGGTGCGGAATTTGCAGATGATATGCTGGATCGGCTAAAAGCCAATGCTTACATCGATGTTGATTTTGTTCATCTTGTAGACCAATATCTGCATCAAAACGTAATTGCCAGATCCTAATTTCTTATGAATGTAATCTTTTCAAGGGTTAGATAGAAACGGATCGTTTAAACCAACCTGATGAATCTACAACTCGAGGCCAACCTGTGACATGTGAAAATACCTAGTCTCGGGCTCTATGGCCAGACATAAAAACACTCAGGATTGTTTCTACAACTACGAAGCGGAGTTCACAGAAAAAAATAAATTTCGGTTACATTCCTCATTATGTTAAACAAACGTGGACTAAACTAAGAAGAGAAAAATCTAGACTGATATTCCCAAAGGACACACTTGTACGTGCAATAGTTAATGGACAAAAGACAACGGTCGTTTCTGGCTCCTATCAATGGCGCACTTAATATAGTTCTAAGTGAGCTTGATACTGGTAAAGTAAGATAATTGGTTATAAGTGCTTTTCAGGTAGAAAAGACTACCTGTCCAGCAGTTATATATCGTGATCACGTTATAAATTGAAGCACAAGGATAGACCCTCAAATTTAACGATGTCAAAAATAATTGAAACAGAGCAACAACAACAACAACAACACACACACACACACACACACACTCATGAAAACCGTGCTATGAATAACAAATACGTGTGAAGTCGCCGATGAAATTTGTGGAATTGCCTCGGCAACTACCGTTGTTTTGATGTGGTGGAAATCGGAACCACAGTGATTATTATATCATCACCAATCGGAATTAATAATGCAAATTGTAGTTATTACACTTAGGTGTTAAAGATTTGTCTTAAGATTAGAGGAAAGCCGGCGTTTTTAACGAGGCGTGTTCTCATCCGTCCCCACTTTGACAGACAACGAGTGGGTCATTTTCCGCTAAATTGATTCGATCGGTCCACAGCGACATCCAATCGGAATTGAAATAGATGGTGTTATTATAATTTATATCCTAATGATAACTTTCACAACTTTTAAACTAAGATAGGTTCGCCAAGAGAGATTTCTGAAAAATAGGGTTACTCAGAGAGAGAGAGAGAGAGAGAGAGAGAGAGAGAGAGAGAGAGAGAGAGCTACTCGTAATTTGGCGGTAAAACTTAGAGGTAGATTATAAGAAAAGACAAAGCTTCAATAAGGTCAGTAAGTTATTTGCTTGATTTTTGCAGAATAAATCGGCGTCATAATTGCACTTATTTGTAATATGTATACTTAATTAGTAGCATCGTATAGTATGTATAATTACGTTGGTAGTGTTTCATTTACATGCGTATTCGAAAAATAGGCTTGAGTGTTATGTAAAGAATTAGGTAGTTTGTTAGCTGGTGGTCAGAATTAATTTTGTAATTCGCTATTAGGTTCCTTCATAGTAAACCAATGGCGTCAAGCAGGGTTGTGTACTGGCACAAACACTGTTCCGTCTATTGTTCTCCGCCATGCTGACTAATGCTTTCAGCTACGGAGAAGTTAGAGTCGGCATCAGGTACCGTACAGATGGAAAACTGTTCATCCCTAGGAGGCTACAAGCGAAAACAAAGGTTATGACAGACACCATCACCGTCAACAGCCAAAATCTCAAACGTAGTGAACCACTTCAACTACCTTTGCAGCACATTTTCACAGTGTCACCATTGACGACGAGGTAAACCTTCATATTGCCAGAGCCAGCTCAACTTTTGGCAAATTGTATGAGAACGTCTGGAATAGAAGAGGCATCAGCAGCACGTGAGACCAAAATAAAGGTTTACAGGGAAGTTGTGTTCCCCACATTACGCATGCAAAACGTGAACGATGTATCAACGCCATGCCAAGAAGCTGAACCACTTTTACACCACAAGCCTCAGGAAAATAAACAATATCAAATAGCAGGACAAAGTCCCAGACACCGATGTACTCGCCAAAGCAGGTCTTTCCAGCATTCACACCATCCTGATGTAGTCCCAGCTACACTGGGCGGGACATGTACTCATGCCAGACCACCGGCTGCTTAAGAGACTCTTCTATGGCGAGCTACAACAAGGACAGCGATCCCACTGAGGTCAGAAAAAAAAACGCTTCAAAGACACGTTGAAAGCTGCAATGAAAACGTTCAACATAAATCCTGACTCATGGGAGCAAACAGCCAGCGATTGAGTCACTTGGTGTTTTTATCTGCACAAAGGCTCCAAGCTGTGCGAAACTAGCAGGACAACAGCTGCGGAGATGAAGAGGCAAGTCAGAAAATCACGCGCCAGCAACCCCTCTGGAGATGTCCAATTCATCCTTTGTATCTTCTGCAACCGAACCTTCTTTGCAAGGATTAGCCTTAACAGCCACCTGCGCACACACAAATCAGAACCAGCCACTCCATCTCACGGATGGCTAGAGTGGTCTTCGTTGACTCGACGGACGAACAACAAACAACATGTTAGAGTTTACACGTGCTTGATTTGTGAATTTGGAAAATGTTTGAGGTATGTAAAATTAGTTACTATGGAAGTATGCGTATATCAGAACATGGATATTTGACTATTTGTGTACTTTGTATGAGTGTAAGGTAAAGATTAATGTGATATTGTTTAGTATAACGGGATTATGAATATGTACTGCTGTCACACAATTTATTGATGTATTTATAAGAAGTAATTGACGGAGTGCTATACTATGAAGTTTGTTGTACCATACAAAACGTATGGGTATCTCTCGGTGAATGAATGCGTGATCAAAGAAATTTAAAAGTCGTTATCTGATGATAGGCTGTGTGCAGTGAGATGAGAGGGCTAAAGAAAACTATTGTACCGTCTTTGTGTTTTAACAAGAAGCTTTTGAATAACAGAGAGTTTCCGGTTCAATAGAGCCCCGAGTCCCCAAGAGGTGGAGACAATATTGAGACTAGACGAACATTCGAAGTTGGCAGAAATTAAGTCGGTAGAGAGAATGTGGATAGAAGGTGGAGGAGGAAAGAAGAAGTCTGGAGGAGAAAGTGGAGGAAGAGGAGAACGATTATAGAGAGGTCGATGAGGAGGATAATGAATATAGAGAAGACGAGGAGGTGATAAGGAATTTGGAGAAAGTCGGGGAGGAAGAGAATAATAAATTGGGGAGGAATATGAGAAGGACGATTACCACAGATGAGTAGAATACAAGGACTGGTGGGAAAATATCTCACACTGAAAATCAAGTGATGCAATATGCTATTAAAGGTTCGAGCGGTGCGTGTATAATTGGGAAATTGAATCATTTGATTAGTGAATTGTTTTTAAATTGTCATTCTTTGATTTTCAACCTTTTTGTATATGTAGGCATCTAACCAGCGGCATTGCTGACTGGGGGCTCGGAGCTTTACATCTATATTTCACTAATTTAGCTTCCACCCCAAATTAGAGCCTGGATGGGATTTCTACAATAGTTTAAATAACATATTTTGTGTACCCCGCCCCAAACAACCAATCCCCCCACCTGCCCTGTTGGCGAAAATGGAAAGACGCCGACAACTTCGAGCGCAGATACAAAATCGAGACGTTAGCGACCCTAAACAAGAATCTGATTTACATTCAATAAAAATCGAGTAAATGTTTGCCAGTTTATATTATTCTATAGCACACCATATACGGAGCAGATTTTGCTTTGCAAAAGTATTTACGTTTCCGAAGGGTAAAATTAATTATGGCAGCTGCACACAATTAGTTTCCACACTGACGCCGATATTCTCAACATATACGAGTACGAAATAGTTTGCGGTGGTAGGTTTGTTGTTGCTGATGACGATTTCGCCGTTCGATTACGCTAACCACAGTAAATCGTTTGCGACAGTGTTCGAATTATGTTGGTATTGCCTAGGTTGAAATTCCACAGTAAATAATACACTCGCGTGTGACGTAAAGGTAAAAACTTATAAAGTCATGGTGTATAGAAGGCAAAAACCTATGTTTAGATCCCCGTTGTGATACTACTGGTAGATTGTTTATTTGTTTGTTTGGTTTGGCTTGGATTTTAACGTAGCTTTAACAATTTTTCAGTCATATTGCTACAATGTCTGCAGTGTGACAGTTTATAGTGATGTCTAGTACTGTGGCATCATGCCGCAGACAGTCTCATTATTCTAACACCAGGCCGACAAGTCCTAACACTAACCTCCTAATTCTGAGCATCTAACGAGGCAGGTGTTAGTACCTTTTGTGTAAGTCTTTGGTATAACGCGGCCGGGGATGGAACCCACGACCTCCCGCATCCGAGGCGGACGCTCTAACCACTAGGCCACCAGAATGGTTGTGAAATCTCCCAACATACAGACATTCACATGAAAAGAGAAAAACTTCTACCACATAAACATGCATGTCAGCAAAAATCTATTACAGTTATGCTGTTCAGATTTATATGAGATTTATGCACATTCTTTATTCTATTCCGTCCCTTTCTAGTTTTTAGCTGCGTGTCATAATCCAAATGTATTATGCAGCCTTTAGTTTGTCCCTAGAGGAGATCATCATTGCAGCATTCAGAATTAGTTCATTTGCAAAAAGAAATTGGAAATTAGAAAGGATAAACTTTCAGAAAAAGAAAAATAAATACAAATTCAAGCGATTCACAAAACTTAATCTAAGCGAATCAGAAAGCACAGTAGAACTTCAGCTATTTGAACAATAATTATCAGCATTTAAATGAAACAAAACAGGTCATGATCCTAAAAGAAACCTTAATTGTATAAACTATCCTACCTCTTCTTAACTTATATTATGCGTTCGTATAAATGCACATAATATGTTGTCTCATTAGTTTAATTCGTTTTGAGTTGTTATAAGAAATACGGTAGCTAGTAGCATGTAGTTTCGTGGGAATGGTTCGGTGTAGTTGTATGACATGCAATCATTTATCAAATTCTTCTCTGACTCTGATGTATCTTTTCATCTGAACGTTCCCCTGGAGCTAGTTTTTGAAACATGGATGTAAGTGCAACGGAATCTCCAAATTCACTACTAAAACGGAACAGGATCATTGTTGTTTGATATTTCAAACATATTTTCATCCATCTAATTTGTTCTTCATTGCCTATCTGAAGTTTTTTAACGGCATGTGCTGGCTCATGCCGAAGACATAGAGGGTGTTTCCCTCTAGGAACATAAATAATGACCTTGACCTGACCCTTCATACTCATCATAGTAGCTTCTCGTGGGTCGTTGGTTCTTTCCGTGGATTTCCCGGTTTCTTCCTCCACCATTAATACTGGCCGCCATGTAGAGCCTATTGTGTGCTGAAAAATGGCGTTAAGCCCCAGAACAACAACAACATACTCGTCATCATTTACTCTGTCTGAACTTTTTGGTATATCTAGAAATCATAGCTTTCACTCGACCGTGCAAGCTATGATATATCTATATCTATCTATCTATATATATATATATATATATATATATATATATATATATATATATATATATATATATATACACATATATATCGACATATATACACATATATATATATATATATATATATATATATATATATATATATATATATATATATATATATATAATAAATTTAAGCTACTTTTATTTTGAAACATACATTCACATTGCAAAGCTTTTTTTAGCTTGCTCTCAATGAGGCTAACATTTTTATCACTGACCTATCGTTGTGTATCATCTCTATCAACTCTGAATAACATTTCTGCAAAAATTTTGGTAAATAATTTATCTATAAAAAGAGAGGGCTTATAGCTGGTCTTTGTTGTATTCAAATAGACACGTTCTTAAAATCTGATATCGTACCGCTTCAGTCTGCGGCATATAATTCACCATTAATGTAGGATGAAAACATCATTATCACATTGCATGCTGATGATTTATGTAGTAACATATTATGATTAACAGCCTAAAAAGCAAGCCATAAAAACCAGTATCATTTAATATTAGACATTTTTATACGTTTCTTTACAACAAAATCCTTAGTAAAATTTGGTATATGAAAGGAAGTTTCATCTTACATACATCCTACATTCGGTATTACTAAATCAGAATCTTTATTAATATGTAGCTTAAGACCACAAAAATAATTAATGAAACTATTTGCAAATTTAGCAAAATAATTAGCGACTTTACCACTAATAGTTAAAAAGCTTGTACACGAACTGCTGTCATGAACAATACTCTTTTATCCTTTTATCGTCCTTTCTTGGGGAAAATTATTGAAAATGGACGTAGCTTTCATGTAATAATAATAATAATAATAATAATAATAATAATAATAATAATAATAATAATAAGAATAAGAATAATACCTATGTTGTTATTGGTTTTTGTATTTTTTATATTCAGCGTACATATGTAGCCATGAGTCGGAGAGCCATCGCAAATTATTATCATTATTATTATTATTATTATTATTATTATTATTATTATTATTATTATTATTATTATTATTATTATTATTATTATTATTATTATTAACCCTGGGCACTTTATCTCACCTGCAAGCGCTGCAAAAAGAAAATTCTGAAAGGTAAGATAGACAATTGTTGATCGGAATTTTATGGTATACAATTTTTTTTAATTTTTAAAATTGTAATAAAAGTTTTTAATTTTAAAATGTTTTAGAATTTTCAATGTTATTGAAATATATATATATATATATATATATATATATATATATATATATATATATATATATATATATATATATATATATATATATATACACAGAGAGAGATAGAGAGAGAATGGGAGAGAGAGAGAGAGAGAGAGAGAGAGAGAGAGAGAGAGAGAGAGAGAGAGAGAGAGAGAGAGAGAGAGAGAGAGAGAAAAGGGAGAGAGTCATGGGTGAAATAAATGTATTTTGTAGGATGGTACAGATGGGTAAAGAGAGCCGTGAAGTTCGCTATCCCAAGAATTTGGCGGGAACCCACTGATCACTTAAGCAACTGCTACTTATGCATGGTAGACCCTTGCAAACGTATGACTGGCAAGAATGCACCTGCTATCACGTATCCGGACCTTCCTTCATTCATCGCCCCTGTACCACACTGTCCTGAGCTTCAGGTACCCACTCCTCCTCCGAGAGAGAGAGAGAGAGAGAGAGAGAGAGAGAGAGAGAGAGAGAGAGAGAGAGAGAGAGAGAGAGAGAGAGAGAGAGAGAGAGAGAGAGAGAGAGAGAGAAGCCGTCTTTAGAGGAGAGCAGCAAGTTAGAGTACGAGGAAGACGTGGTAGACCCAAATGACAATTTCAGAGGTGGAGCTAAAGAGAGAAACCCACAATGCCACTACCAAAAAGATCTCAACGACTTGATCAGAGTCCAATGCCGAGCTTTTGACGTCTGAACTCAAGCAGTGAAGCTTTTTAGATGAAAGTGTGTAAGTCGCAGATCAGAGAAAGCGTCACCAAGCTTTTTACAGCTTAATCACCCATCAAGATGGACTCTGCTTCTGTTACAATGTGACCAGTCTGTTCGAGGTAATTGAAATCGCCTGCAACCAGAATGGATGGCGCCTCTTCATTGACAGCTCGTCTAGGAGCATCAGAGCCGTGCTGTTCCATAATGGGAACAAGTATCCGTCTCTTCAACTGAATCACTCGGTGCACCTCAAAGAGGATTACAACAGCATCAAGACATTGCTGGACGCCTTGAAGTATGATGAGTACTGCTTGGGAGGTCATCGGAGACTTCAAAATGGTAGCATTCCTGATGGGTTTCCAAGGCGGTTTTACCAAGTTTCCCTGCTATATTTGCGTTTGTGACAGCAGGGACACCAAGGCGCATTGCCATAGGCGGGACTGGCCACAGCGGACCGAGTTGTCTGTGAGGAGGAACAACACCAAGTGGCAGCCACTGGTGCACCCCCGGAAATTGGTGATGCCACCATTGCACATCAAAATGGGCCTTATGAAACAATTTTTCAGCGCTTTAAATAAGGAGTTGAAAGCCTTCAACTATCTTCAAGACTTCTTCCCTAAGCTGTTTGAAGCAAAAGTCAAAGCCAATGTCTTCGTCGGACCACAAATAAAGAAGATCATGGAGTGCAATGAATTCCCCAAGACATTCACTAGTAAGTATAAAGCGGCTTGGAACAGCTTTGTCGCAGTGGTTCTTGGCTTCCTGGGCAATCAAACGGCCGAAATCTATGTGGAGCTGGTAGAGACTGGTGAAGAACTACGGCACAGTGGGCTGCATGATGTCCCTCCAAGTCCATATCCTTGATGTTCATCTTGATAAATTCAAGGAGAACGTGGGAGCGTGCTCTGAGGAGCAATGCGAGCGATTCAACCAGGATATACTGGACTTAAAACGCCACTACCAAGGACAGTATAATGAGAACATGATGGGAGACTATATCTGGGGGCTGATTCGTTAAGTGATTTACAGTATAATTGTAAATCTCGAAAAACTACTCACTTCTAAATCTTTTGTGGTCATTTTTGTATTACTTTATAAATACATGTTAATTTATGATTAATATATGTTGTTATTTTTCTGACTGTTTGAACTAAAAGATACAAATTCGCCCGTTTTCGCATTGGAAATAGGTAAATTTCAAAATATCACTGTTTTGGTTACAAAAGCAAAATTGTCTATACTTTTAGGCATAAGCAACTCGAAAAAAAAAATACTACCCAGGAACAAAAACTGTGTCAAATAGTGTTATTGTTATTATTATTATTATTATTATTATTATTATTATTATTATTATTATTATTATTATTATTATTATTATTATTATTATTATTATTATTATTATTATTATCAGTACTCTACCAGTGAAACCAATCAGGTATATATTTTAAGTTATTGGGTTTTTTTTAATCTACGTTATAGCTATGAGTGTGAGATTGTCGTCCAACATGGGTGTGAGATGTAATCGAATATAGTTTTATATTGTAGTCAAATATGGTGTGAGATTGTATTCCACTTCCTTGTAAGAATATACAGCACCAAGCAGATACTTAAAAATTAAAACTTCTTTTTGTTAATGCATGCATTAAATGATTAAACGAAATATAAGCTGGATTGTGAGTCGTAGGGGTGTATTTTATTTTAGTTTGGACAAATAATCTGAGAATATATATATATATATATATATATATATATATATATATATATATATATATATATATATATATATATATATATATATATATATATATATATATATATATATATATATATATGTGTGTGTGTGTATGTATGTATGTATATATATATATATGTGTGTGTGTGTGTGTGTGTGTGTGTGTGTGTACTATATACTATACTAAACTTATCCTCAACAGATAT